GCCACGAGGACTCCACACAAGCACAGCAGGCCATTTAAAGAGAGGTCTGAAATGTGCTCTAATAAACTGTGCTTATAATTAGAACCCACTGGGAAAACCTGGCAAAGAACAGAATGGGATTTTATTTTCTGTTTTCCTCTTCTACTCTGATGTGACCTAATGGCAATGTTGCATTTCATGGAAATATCCCGTTATAGAGATTATACTTCAGTGCTAAATCATAGGCAGGAACTGTGCTGGGCAGTAGCGGGGCAGGCAATATTCAGGAACAACACTGCCAAGCCAAAACCACTTTTGCTTCTCATTATAATTTTTTTAATCCCAGAACAATTAAGAATGTTTCAATGCTTACAATTTCCGTTATTCACAAGTTGTATGCTAATGCAGCAATGAGCCAACTGCACAGCTTCATGATTGTTGAAAGTCCACAAAATTTGTAATATTAAACTTGAATTTGTAGGAAAAGTGGGGAATACACAGTAAATAGGTAGAAAGAGAAAACAAAGCTCCTCTGGAGAACTTCGGAGAGATGACGCATTTGTTTTAATTACATAGGCTCCAGCTACTCATACTGGAGAGGAAAAGGGGTCACTCACTCTAAAGTTTTGTGGAAATTGTGAGAAAAACTTGAGAATTTTTCTTTAAACTCATACTTTGCAATGTCAGTAGATATCCTGTCACCTATTTAGATTTAGAAATTTAATTCATAAAATTATTAGATCGGGAGTTACAGATTTTGCTTCACACTTTCCAAATTACTGACTGGTTATATGCTGTTCTTTCAGTTCCATGCTTTTTTTATCTTTTACTATTCTGTCTCAGCCTTACAGCATGTAGTCTTTCTTCTCAGATGTGCCCTTTGGTGTTTCCAGTTCCCACTGCCATTTACCTACACCAACACCAAGGAAAACTCCAAGAGTGCCCTAGCTCAACCTTGGCTTCCTCCAGTAGAAAAGGAGGATTGTAATACACCTTAACCAAGCAGTTACCAAGCATAATCTTAGGATTTTTAGAAGACATCAGAACAGCCAATATCCAGAAGACATAAATATAGCTAACATTCTTAAATAGCGTGCCACACTTTGTATATTGCAGAATTTTGCATTTTTACCAGGTAAGGTTTCATCCCTTTGCAAATATGAAAAGAAATATAAGTTTTAAATTCTCACCCTGAGTTAACATACCTACATATTCAAAGTCCCCTCTCCTTAATGTTACTTTGTAGAAATACTACCTTCTAATCCTCTCTCCTCTTAGCCCTTCCCAGCCAGTGTAACTCTGCGGGAGAGAACGGGTGTCTGCTCTGGCTCAGCAACTGCTGACAGCCTCATAGCATCATGCCAAATGCAGGACCAGGCTCTTCCTTCATGGAATACCACCTGGAAGAACAGGGATAACCAAATTAGGCAATTATTTGCTCACACTTTTTAGAATTGTCTTTGGGAAGATGTATTTCCCAGTATTTTTTTTCTTGCTCAGATATGATCTGAATAACATTCAAGATTCATACATGCGAGTGTTCTGATGTCATTCTCTGCCTTTTGTGGGATAAAAATGGTAACAGAGCAAAGTTAAGCAGCTCAAATATTAATTTCTAAATGGCTGCATTCGTAAAACCCAAAACTCAAGAAGAGACTGGACAACAAGATGCCCCTATCTGGCATGTTTTGACATTAGTCACAGACTTCTATGTAGTGAACAGAAACAGTCACTTGGTTGACAATTAGCTATTGTGTTCAACAGTACATGTCAGCATGTCCATTGACATCTGTCAGTTATGGGTTTATTTCTTAGTGTAGTGATCAAAGATGAGTGAAGCCCCCATAATACAGGAGGAGATGGTTAATGACTTGATATACCAATTGGATGCTCACAAGTCTACAGGCCCTGATGAGATCCACCCCAG